TTCCAACCCCTACCAATCTGTGAATCTCTGACTTTCATCCTTAATGCTTGGTTACAAGGTGTAGAATAAATAACAAAAGGAGGCTATTGCTTTTGATGACATAAAGAAGTCTTATATATGAACATGAATTATGTAAAACACCAACATCTGAAAAGAACAGCAGATGTCACCATGTTATGATAGATCTTCTGCTTCATACAACTGTTGGAACAGCTGTCATCTTGTGTGGTGTCATACTGCCTGCAACAGTTCATGTCAGCTGAATTGTATGAGGATTTTTTTCCTTTCCCATGTAAAACAAACAAAATATCTCTTTCTCTGGATGATACATAATATGTGTTGCAACGAACTTGAAAATTTGCATTAGTCTTGTTAAAATTAGTAAAGCTGAATTGATGACTATCTAGGTGTCTTCCTCAAGTATATTGGTTTTTTTCTCCAGGTTTAGAAATGTTCAAAGAAGTCCGAATTCCCATAATTCCTTCTGAAGAACCCTTCAAAAGACCAAGTGAGTTTAGATCTCTTGAACTTAAAACTTCCAGTATTTTTGGCTAATTTTTCTGTGTTCCTTTCCGTACATAAAAGCTACTTGTCATAGGAATTGTCTTTCAACAATTTGTGAAGCTGTTGCGAGTGGCTGAACACAATTTCTGTTTTTAAGATGTTAGACTTGTCTACCTTTAGATATCTAGCTGTAGTACCTACTTAGAAGGTCAGTGTACTTGGCTGGTTTTATCATATGCATAGATACCTTCAGTTCATAGGTCTAAAAGTGTATATTGTGCCTGCACTCCTAATTTAAGTACCTGCAGTTGCATGGGATAAATCCAGACCTACATGCTTTATGGGAACTGATATATTTTGACCATATTACAGTTGCGTACTTAAACCACCATCAAGCAATGTTGTAATCTGTAGACTGGTTTCTTCAGTTTGTGTGTGCTTTTTATTTCTCTAGAACCAGTGGAAGCTTTCTGTACATCACTTATGGATTATTTCCGAGACGTATGCAAATCTGTGGCCATGGAGCGTGAAGTAACTCTTGATCACCTGTTTATTGATGGAACACTTGTTCAAAGCCAATCTGAAACCAAGACTGGGAAGAATAGCATGAAAGCAATGGAAAAGGAGCTGGTAACTTGCAGTCTGCAAGGGAAGGAAAGGGCAGCCCTTAAAAGAAGCCAAATATTTCAAATCCCAGGAGGTAAAGACTTAGAGACTAAAGTCATTGTGGTG